AAATTACTGAGTCATCTTTTTTCACCACTTTGCCTGCTGATAGGCCCTCCAGAGTCCCAAATGTACATAATCAAATAATAAAAAGTTGGTTTTGCATAATATGTCCCCTTTAATACTGGTTTTTTGGTCTTCATTTTTGTTAACAACATAAACATTTTTAAATTATATAAAATACATAGAAACTTCTGTTTGCATTTTTTTTTGCTGAGGATAATGTTAATGATGGAAATATTTTCTGAATATTGCACATTCTTGTAGTACTTCCAACCTTGCTGTTATTGGACTATTTCACTAATCAAAAGCATAAACTCACAACAGGCTTTTTTCCATGTGGTTTTGTCCAAAACCAACAAGCAAGACATGTACATTTCCACAGCTGTCAACAAGAAACAGTCCGCCAAAAAGAAGAGCAAGTTGTGCACATGGTGTAAGCCTTGTTGTAACTGCTTTGTTTGGCTCACTCAACAGAAGGAAGCTGTCTCCTTCTGGACCTTGAATGTCACCATACTGAGCGCAAAGCAGCATCAGTCTGAAGATTACTGTAGGTATTGCTTTCACCTTGCATGATTTTAATTAAGACATTTGTGCTGTGCATAGTTTGGAATGACATTTAATCACTTTTAATTTTTACCTGCTTTATCTTAAAACCTTTTCACAGGAAAGTGACACAGTGGTAAATGTTTATCATTGCATAACCGAAACTGATGTCTGTTTCCATTTTACATTACAGGGAATGAATCTGACTGCTATGTCATTCTATCTCTCCCCACGGGAACGACAAGGACCTGCCGCACAAAAACAGTGCCAAACTGCAACAACCCAGAGTGGAATGAAACTTTTACCTTCAGGGTCCCCACTCAAGTGAAAGTGAGTCTAATCAATATCTACATGGCATCAAACACGAGCCAGATGTACAGCTGTTGTTCAGTCTGCTGTCCTCTAAATCTTTTCCCATCAATGCAGCAAGTACATTAATATTCAAATTACGACCTCATCTAGTCTTCCTCAAAATAGTCAAAACCAGCAATAAGCTCCTCTGCTGTTTCCCCAGAACATTTTAGAGATCAAGATGTATGATGAGGACCCAATGGCGCGTGATGACCTGATTTCTACACATCTGTTTGACATCAGCAACCTCACAGTAGGGCAGAAGGAGTCCAAGGTTTTCACCATAAACCCTGAGGTAAAAGCATCAAGGGAATACAGAAAAATACCTCTACAACACTTAAAAGCCTTTTGGCTGAGGACAGATCTGTGATCAGCTGTACTTGGTCAAAAGAAGAAAAGTTTTTTCCATAATATATCATGTTCTTGCTTATTTTAGTAGTGTGTACTTACAATATGGGCATTAAGCAAATAATTGATTGAAGGCTATTCCCTTGTCCACTTTTGTATAGATGGATGACAAACTTCTAATAGAGTTTGAGCTACTTCAGAGGTGACTGACTTTCGGTTTTTACTTTACCTGCATGTAAAATATTTCCAGACATTTGCTCTTCTTTTCTTCTAATACACCATCTGATCTGGTACAAAATAAATAATATGTGTCTTTTTGTAGTGAGGACCCTTCTTGTGAATATCTCACTAATGGCATCCTCATGGTAAGACTTGAGACCCCTGCCCTACACAGTCTGTAGATGCAAGCGAGCATCATCCATCATCCCCAAATTATTCATTTAGGTGGGCATGTGGGATATAATGTGTTCAAAAATCCATGCTACAAGTGATCTGAAGATCAACGATACACGTTTTTTACTATTATTTTAAGACTTTTTTTAAGATGTTTTATGACTATGCTGGGTGTGCCAGCTTTTAATTTACCTGGCACATGCACATTCAAGCTGCAGTGTTCTTATGATTTATTTGGACAACGGACTGCCAGCCAATACCACAAAGCAACTGATCTCTCTATGTCTGTCTTCCAGGCTGCCCCATTCTCTGCACTGGATATTGACGTTGACAAGCTCCTAAGCAATGAGCGTATGTAGGCAACAGTTCTGTTCAATTCAATAAGTTAGGTTGAAATAAGCATTCACTGTCCTGTTCACGACATAGTTATGGAGGTGGAAGGAAGGTTTTAGGCAAACTTCACAGACATGAATGACTGCATTGTTATGTGATATTACCTAAAGGAATGAAAATTATCTAACTGGTGGCCAACATTACATTTATATCTGGGGGTCCAAGTTGGAACCCTGTATCTGTTAGGGTTCTTCTTCTTCTTCTGCCCTATAACCTGGGTCTCGGAAACCGTAACAGTTACAGTTACCAATCTTTGTACATAGTTTGGAGGTCTCACACACTACACAGACAAAAATGCATGGAATTTGATAATGATTGATTAAAGTGGGCATGACTTAGCAGAACAAATCTAAATTTCTATGGTCAATTAATTTACTCTATATTTTAAACAATATTCCAAATTAATTAACAATCTGTATCTCTACAAGTCTTTGGTGAAATGTTACCAAAACTGACACAGACATTCTTTGGATGCTAAATATCACTTTGAATGTTGTTTATGTCTGCAGTCTGCTCAAACCCCTTCATTCCCACCAACGGCTATAATTAAATTAATGCTTCAACGTGTAATGTAAAGGGCTCCGTTGTAGTAATGAACCAACAGTTAATTACCCCACTTTGCAATTCCTCTAAGCTATACAAAAATTCTAAGTAATAGTACATTTACTGTTTTGTTTAAATATCACCACTCTCAGAAACGTCATTCCCAGCAGAAGGAGGCAGCTTTTTTCAGCAAAGGAGCTCTGAAGACAGACAAAGTTAACAAATAGCTGGTGATACAGTAATGCATTCAGCAACCAAGAACCAGATATTTCCCTCAGGAATTAGTAGAGACAAAACAAGAGCTAAAAGTATGATGAATGTAAATTTAAATTAGACATTAGACAATTACTTTGTCAATCTTCAAATTTGGTGTTATTTACAGTGAGTCGTGTCTGTGCAGTCTTTCTAAATTTTAACATTTTCTCAGTTTTTACAACCTCAGTAGGCTGTGTAAGAGAATAGTCTGAACAAGGGATACAACAAATAACAAAAACAAAGAATCCTTTGAGAAGTCATCTTCAGGACAAATGAATGACTTTAGTATATTGATCGTGAACTAGTAATGACTTATAAAGCATTAAAATGGTATTTATCAGTTTTAACAGATGAAGATGTGACATAGTTCTCTTGCAAATGTATTGTTTTTCTGCAGGTATTAGGGACAAGGTGCTGAAACTGAGGGGGGCCTATCGGGAGATTAAAATGCCTAATGCAAAGGAAACCCCCAAACTGCGTTTCTATATCAACAGAGACTTGGAGACAGAACTAGGAGTGGCAGTGAGTTTTAACTGTCTCTTACCTGTTTAACAGAGAGATATAAAGTATTTAATAAGGTGTCTTTACTTGCACTCTCTTTTAGCATACAAGGAAAGAAGAAACAATCACCCTTATGTTATTCTACTCAACAGCAGCTTTCCTCTAAGCACCTACACTAAATGCCACAAACCAACATGCTCATCAAAATCTCAAAGAATGTATAACATTATTTTTCTCTTTGTCTGTCAGCCCTCTGATACATTTGCCTCTGTTGCCTCAATGGAAACTTCTATAAATCTCCCACCACTTCCAGCCAAATATGTTGGCAAACTGTCTCTTGTTATTGATCAGGTAAGAAGTTTGTGTTGGTCCTTTTGTTTAGATCAGCTGAACATAAGAAGTAGGGCCTGCAAAAACCTTTATTAGAGGGGTATAAAATTTAATTTAATTCAATTCAATTCAATTCAATTTTATTTGTATAGCGCCAACAGAAGTTATCTCAGGACACTTTTCAAATAGAGCAGGTCTAGACCGAACTCCTTTTAACATTTACAGAGACCCAACAGTACCACCATGAG